ATTCCCTTCCATGTCAAGCCGTGTTGTTCCCCGACGTGCACTAAACCCATGTTCCCGTGCGAATCCCTTGAAAAAGTACCAAGCTTGATCACGTGAAGAGAAGAGCTTACCAACCAATATGTCAGATTCATCAACATTATGTACTTCATGGCATTCATCGGTTGGCTTATGATTGTCTGCATCAGTATGATCCATGGCAAAAATTTTGTTGTGCAATTTCAGTGGTCCCAACAGGAGTTGATGGAGATGTAAGTAAAGGTTCATTGAACAACATGTTTTCATTGGTGCTTTCAATAGGATGTGGTATTGGTAGTGGTAGTTGAAGGGTGGGTACAACATTAAATTTGCAGGACATATTCAGGTATGTACAATAACTACAACATTCAATAACTTTAAAGTAATAGGTAAAATTACAATGTAGGTGGTTAAAATATACTTTTTTAATGACAAAATTAGTAAACACAAAGATTTGTTTCGATACATATGTAAACATATGTGTCGATACATTTTCCAAAAGTATCGATCCCAAAAACATTGAAACAAATAATTATAATGTAATAAGTAAATTAACAATGTAACCAGTATATATATATCGGTTAATTATAAAACAGGTCAACATAACATATCGATACTATTATAATTTGTGTCGATACTTATTGTCTAGAATGAATGGCCAAACGACAGTCACGCATAAAGTGTCGATACATTTACAATGTAACCGGTAGAAATATACCGGGTTAATGACGAATAGGTCAACATAAAGTATCGACACTTTTTAAATTTATGTCGATACACTTTTCCAGACGAGGTGTACGCATAAACTGTCGATACATTTATAAAAAGTATCGATCCCAATAAAATGAAACCGATAATTATTAACAGGTTACAATGTAACCGGTAAAAATATACCGGTTAATTAGCAAATATATCTACATTATGTGTCGACACTCTTTAAATATGTGTCGATACTTTTTTTCCAAAATGAAAGCACAAACAGGTGCACGCATAAAATGTCGATACATTTAAAATTGTATCGATCCCAAAAACATCGAAACCGATAATTATAATGTAATAGGTCAATTACAATGTAACCGGTTGAAATTTACCGGTTTTATGAGAAAATAGGTCAATATAAGCGCTACCTATTACATTATATAAGCGCTACCTAATATGTTATTGTACTTGATAATATTTCCAGTTAAATGCCTATTTTATTATATAAGCGCTACCTATTACATTATATAAGCGCTACCGGATATGTTGAAAGTGTCGATAATTTAATATAAGTATCGACACTTTCTGAATTTAAAAGAGAAGAAGTTATAGCGCCTAAAAAGTGTCGACACTTTATGAAAATGTATCGATCTATAACAATATAACAGCTAAAAATATGACAAAACCGGTCTCAAAATGACAAAAAAAGGTAAATAACTACCGGATATGTTGACAGTGTCGATACTTTAATATTAGTATTAACACTTTTGGAAATAAAAAGAGAATAAGTTATAGCACCTAAAAAGTGTCGATACTTTAAAAAAATGTATCGATCCATAACAATATTACAGGTAAAAATATAACAAAACCGGTCTCAAAATGACAAAACCGGTAAAACGCTACCGGATATGTTGAAAGTGTCGCTAATTTAACATAAGTATCAACACTTTCTGAATTTAAAAGAGAAGAAGTTATAGCGCCTAAAAAGTGTCGACACTTTATGAAAATTTATCGATCTATAACAATATAACAGCTAAAAATATGACAAAACCGATCTCAAAATGACAAAACAGGTTAAATAACTACCAGATATGTTGAAAGTGTCGATACTTTAATATAAGTATCGATACTTTTGGAATTTAAAAGAGAAGAAGTTATAGCGCCTATAAAGTATCGATACTTTAAAAAATGTATCGATCCATAACAATATAACATGTAAAAATATGACAAAACCGGTCTCAAAATGACAAAACTGGTAAAACGCTACCGGATATGTTAAAAGTGTCGATAATTTAATATAAGTATCGGCACTTTCTGAATTTAAAAGAGAAGAAGTTATAGCGCCTAAAAAGTGTCGACACTTTATAAAAATGTATCGATCGATAACAATATAACAGCTAAAAATATGAGAAAATAGGTCAACATAAAGTATCGACACTTTTTAAATTTGTGTCGATACACTTGTCCAGACGAGGTGTATGCATAAATTGTCGATACATTTATAAAAAGTATCGATCCCAATACAATAAAACCGATAATTATTAACAGGTTACAATGTAACCGGTAAAAATATACCAGTTAATTAGTAAATATGTCTACATTATGTATCGACACTCTTTAAATATGTGTCGATATTTTTTTTCCAAAATGAAAGCACAAATAGGTGCACGTATAAAGTGTCGATACATTTAAAATTGTATCGATCCCAAAAACATCGAAATCGATAATTATAATGTAATAAGTCAATTTACAATGTAACCGGTTGAAATTTACCGGTTTTATGATAAAATAAGTCAATATAAGCGCTATCTATTACATTATATAAGCGCTACCTAATATGTTATTGTACTTGATAATATTTCCGGTTAAATATCTATTTTATTATATAAGCGCTACCTATTACATTATATAAGCGCTACCTAATATGTTATTGTGCTTGATAATATTTCCGGTTAAATGATATAACATAGCCGATCTAAATTTTAACCGATCACTTCTTTAACCGATCACGCCATTTTTAGTCGTTTTTTAGGCGTCGCACAGCAGAAGTACCCATTAAACTAGTCATTGGTTTATATTTAATTTGAATATTCTTTTACTTATATATACTAAATTTAAAAGTTAATTATAAAGTAATATTAAATTTTTATTATTCATCGAAATTACATTCATTTATGTTATGTTCAAAAGCATGTCGAATTGTGGAGTTAATCACATTTTTTTTTCTATTAAGGCTAAAATGATTACAATGTAATATATGTTCTAAATATTTTTAACTATTTGACTTTTAAAGGCGCTCAAATCTATAACTTTTAAGAACAATAACGATTCTTTTAACCATTAATACTCAAACTCATGATATTTAAAAACATTAACGATTCTTTTAACTATTGAAGTAAATTAATTTGTGTGATGTGATTAGAGTTAATAACATCTTTTAGGTACGTTTTTATCCTATAGATAATTTAGTCGGTCGGTGGTAAAATTTTATCGATTAACTTTAAAGGCGCGTTTAATCGACTCCGTCTGTTAGGATTTTGAACAAAATATGAAATTTTTTCTATATTGCTCCTTTGATTAAATTTTGGAATTTTTATATTTTAAAAGTTTTAAATAATTACTTAATTTGAATGAAAATGGAATAATAATATTATATTAAATATAGACTTAATATAAAAGTAAGTGTCCGAAATATTTTTTTCTCATTTAGGTACCTAAACTATTTTCCGGTCAATTTAAGTATGTAATATTACAAACATTACAATTTTAAATGCATCGACAATAACAGTCGTTAAAAAAATCCGTTGAATGACATATGTCGTATTTAGTTTTTTAATTAAAAATTAAAAATATCATTTAAAATATTAAAAAAAGCTTAATATAAAAGTAAGTGTCCATAAAATATTTAAAGTTAACTTTAGGTATTAAAAATAGGTGTCTAACGTTTCTAACGTTATACTTTTAGGTGCATAAACTGTAACGGCCGTTAAATTCGGCCGTTAAGTTACATGTGTCACGTTTATAAATTTTATTTTTAAAAAAAATAAAATCATATTATATATATATAAACCCTAATTTTTTTTGAAATTAGAAAAAATTCCCTAAATCTTAAAATAATTACTTTCGAACAATATTACCAGCCACTTCGGTCACTATCATTGTTGTCGTCATTGCCACTGTCGAGCATCACCACCCATCATTATCGCCACTGTTGTTGTCGCCTTTCGCCGATCATTCCTTTGTCATAATCCAAATCTCCAAAATCTCTAAATTTTTCGTCCCCAAATCACCCTAAATATTATCGTCACTCACGCCCCGCTAAGCATCAAGCTGTGGAGTGGGTGCTGCAAATAATCACGCCTTGCTGCAAAATAAAGAGGGCAAAACAAATCACCCATCCACTGTGCATGATTCATGTATTTGGGGTTATGGTTTAGGGTAAGACAAATCACTCATTCATTGTGCATAATTTATGACTTTGGGGTTATAGTTTAAGAAAAAACAAGTTAGGATGATTTAGGGTTCATGGTGGTAAAATTGAGGTTGCTAGGGTGGGGGGGCGAACGACGACGATGTCAGCGATGATGATCGGTGATGGCTGATAATGAGATTTGAAATTAAGAATTTTAAAGTTTTAGGGGTTTTCTCTAGCAAACAGTTATTTGCACATTTAAAATTAACTTTAAAAATAGTTTTGTATAAATTCTATTAATAAAAACAATCCCCTACATCATCCCTTCTCCTTTCCCTATCTCCCCCTACAATTCCCAAATTGCAAAGGCTAACCTTTGGCTAGCTTGCTTCAATTGGTGGTTAATGGGTGATTAATTATGTACGTCATTTAAAATTTTCATTTTTTATTCAATTTCAGTATTAATTTACCTTTTCGGGTATGATTTGAGTTATCTTAGTGCACGTGACTCTTTTATCTTATTTTTGTAAATTTGATCCAAATTATTTTTTTTACTTTTTTCAAAACCCTAATTTATTTTATTTTACAATATGAAATACACAAAGTTAAGTAATTTGGATTTTTTCTTTAAATTTAGACTCAAATTTTAATATTTTTTAGATAAGTAACTTATATTCATACAAAGAAAGCAGCAAAAACTGCTACAAACAACAATAAACATTATATCAGTCCCCAACTCATATACAAGTGCCTATTTACATCATCTCTTCTATGTGTAGAGTGTCTATACAATTTGTATTGAACAATTTCTTTGATCAATGTAACAATCCCTTCTACTGAATTCGAGTACCTCCTAAAAATCCTGTGGTTACGCTCATCCCAGATATAATACAAAGGAACAATTAGCAAATAGGTGGTCACGTGTTTCCAGCCCATTGCCACACATAATACAACTATTATCCATTTCCAAACCAAAACGAATCAACCTATCCTTAGTAGGCAGTCTATTGGGGATGTCCATCCACGAAATGAGAGAACATTTCGGGATATGAGCAGGGAACCAAATGATTTTGTGCCAATTAACATTCTCTCTGCTGATTCTGATATTTCCCCATATCCATTTACTGCTAATTAGACGCCAATCAGTACTAGGAAGGAACAAAGTTCTAGCCACCTCACGGAGATTCAACAGTTTTTTAATAATCAAACTAAAATGGTCTTTACATATCGCTTCCCAAAAACTCACATTTTTAAAGCAGTATTCTTTAATCCAAGCTATCCAAATAGAACCTTCATTGGCCAGAATATTTTTAATTAGCAGCAAGCAACATGCTTTACTCCACAAGGATAGATCTCTAAGGCCCAGACCACCCTCAGACTTTAATGAACATATCTGATTCCATCCAACACGAGCTCCTCTGGTAGGAGAGTCATTGCCCTTCCAGAAAAATCGCATGCATAACCTTTCAATGTCCCTGACAATCCCCTTGGGGAGAATGAGCTGTCTGCTCCAATAATTGAAAATAATGTGCAACACTGTCTTGATCAACTGAAGTCTACCCCTAAAGCTAAGCTTCTGTCTAGACCATTGAGAGAGCTTGTCCTTAATTCTCCCCAAAAGAGCAGCACAATCCTTACTAGTGAGTTTCTGAGTGACCAGGGGCACTCCAAGATATCTAACAGGTAACTGAGCCACTCTAAATCCAGTAACAGATTGTATCTGATCAAGGGTACTCCCACTTAACCCACATGCGAAAAGTTCAGTCTTCAAAGTATTAAGCTTAAGGCCTGACAGATCATAAAACCTCTCAAGGGTGCATTGGACACCAAGAACAGATTCAAGGGAACCATGACAGAACACAAGGAGATCATAAGTAAAACTAAGGTAAGTTAGGGAGATTCTTCTACATTTAGGGTGGAATTTAAAAATTCCATGCTTAGCAGCTTTGTTCAGCATAGCAGAAAGAACATTCATCACCATAACAAAAAGTTAAGGAGACAAGGGATCACCTTGTCTAATCCCCCTTGCCCCCTTGAAATACCCCACCAAACTACCATTCAAGCAAACATTATATATTAGGGTAGTAATACAAACCCTGATCTAGTGATAAAAAACATCAAGAAAACCCATAGCCTCAAATACAATCAGTAGAAAGTCCCATTTAATGGAATCAAAAGCCTTCTACAGATCGATTTTAACAATACATCTGGGAGAAAGTCCTTTCCTAGAATATCCTTTCACAATCTCCTGGGCTAAAAGGGTGTTATCAACAATGCTCCTACCCTTGACAAAGGCTGACTGGTTATAGGAAATCATGCCAGGGAAGTAGGGCGTAAGCCTATTAACCATAATTCTGGTGATGGTTTTGTAAACTACTGAACAACAAGATATAGGCCTAAACTCCTTTGCCATACATGCATTTAAGGACTTTGGGACCAGAACTAAGATTTTAGCATTAAGCAGTCTACAAGTACGAAGAGTGGAAAAAATACCTTACAGCAGAAATAAAGTCCCTACCAACAATGCTCCAAGCAGATTTAAAGAAGCCATAAGTATAACCATTAGGGCCTGGACTTTTGTCCTTATCTTGCTTAAAAAGAGCTTCTTTAATCTCCAAATCACTCACCTCCTTTGTAAGTAAGGTGTCTGCACCTTCTGGAAAAGAGTAGTTCAGTAGATCCTTCAAAGCTACAGCTGAACACCCTTTAACAAGAGAATCAGGAGAACCAATGAGGTTAGTAAAATAACCCACTGGCTCAGTGGACATTCCTTCAAAATAGTCATAGCACTGCCCATCCTTACTCTTAATGGCCATAATATAATTCTTTTTCTTATTGGAGAGAACCCTTAGATGAAAAAACTTTATATTCAAGTCTCTCTCCTTTAGCCAATGAACCTTGGCTTTCTGCCTATAGAAAATAACTTCAGCAACTTCCAAGTCAACTAAATCAGCATGAATCTTCCTTTCTTCCTCAATTCTCCTCTGGTTAATGTGAGCCAGATTGAAGATCTGAATCTGCTCCAATTCTACCCTCTTGTTTTTGACTCTACCAGAGATATCAGCAAAAAATTTCGAATTAAACTTCTTAAGAATAGGCTTAAGTCTTTTCAACTTGCTGAACAAACAGCTCATAGCATCCCCACCACATTGGCTCTGCCAAGAATCCCTAAAAATATCAAGGAATTTTTCATGACCAGACCAAATATTAAAAAATTTGAATGGTCGAGGATTCTTGGCCACCATTCCTTTGTGAGTCCACAACATACCAAGACAATGGTCAGATACCCCATTGGCCTTGAATTCAACAAACGAATAAGAGAAATCCACCAGCCATTGATCATTAATAAGGATTCTGTCCAACTTTTGAGCCAGAAAGGAGCTTTCTTGTTTATTGGACCAAGTGAATAAAGGGCCAAGGAAAGGGTGGTCCATGAGCTTTGAAAAGGTCTTCCAAACAGTCTTGAAAATCCTTCATATCAGGGGTACAGTGAATCCCCATGATGTCAAAATTAGAACTCTCCTTAGCCTTGGCAATGATGTTAAAGTCCCCCCCAATCAGCCAAGAGGAGTGACCAATATTCTTCTCAATTATACCCAAGTGTTCCTAGAGTCTTCTCCTAGCAACACCACTGTTACTGCCATAAACATCAGTAATAGTAGTCACATGCCCATCAATAGACCCAGTGATAGATATGGCCTGGTCACAACATCTCAAAACTGAGAAAGAGAGGTGCTTCATCCAAAAGACCCATAATCTACCTCCTTCAGTGTATTCAAAATTTTCAGCAAAATACCAATCTTCAGACAGAGCAGAAGAAAAATTAGCAGAGTTCACACTACGAATGCAAGACTCCATCAAACAGAAGATATCAACCTCATAAGAAAATAACCTCTTTAACACTTCAGTTGTTTAAGGGGGTTATTAATCCACCTAACGTTCAAGAAACTGACAATCATCAAAAGGGAGCAAGTTGAGTACTAATGCCTGTGCTCAAATTCACTAAAGAACTTCTGACTTTCTCAAGGTGATATTTCTTTTTGGTTTTTATTTCATTAAGCAACATGGCAACCCCCAAAGAAGCCACACGGGCTTTCCTGGTGCCCTCAGCCACAACTTTTATTTTACTTGATGAACTAGCAACCTCTTTTTTTTTTCCTTCCCTTTTGCTTTTTCTTCAAGGAATCCTGTAAGGTTGAGAAATCTCTAGATTAGACAGTGCTCTGTATATGAAGAACACTATCAGTAGGTACCCTCTCATGTACACTAGGTTCAGAGTCTGACAACTTCAATGTCACAGTAGCATCTGATAACTTCTGAGTCTCAGTAGCAGTTGGTGGAAAACTAGCAGTATCCTTACTAACACCCATCAAATTAGGCTCACTGTTCTTTTGTAGGGCATGCACTGTTGTCTCCACAGCATTACCCACAAGTAATTCTTTAGAGTTGCATACAAAATCAGGAGGCAAGACTGAGCTTTGAATAATCTCAATAGGTGCATTAGCAGTCCCTATTGTCCCTGAATCAGCAATAACAGTAACAGGCAAGCTACCCTTACTATCAGACTCTGTGCCCTTACTATCATTCCTCCTCCAAACTTGCAGCTCTTTTGATTTCTGATGGGGCTGCCTAACATCAATACACAAATTGACATGGTACCCAAATGTTTTACACTTAGCACAGAATTTGGGCAACCAAGGAACATGAACTCTAACATTAACAGAGGAACCATTCTTTAAGATAACCTGAATGGATTATGGGATGATGACACAAGCTTCAATTTCCACGTACTCCTTAGCATATTCGAGTCTCTCTCTTGAAGCTGTAATGATGCCCATGTACAATGGGTTACCTAAGGCACTAGCAAGATAACTAAGTCCCTTTTGGGAATAGAGTTCTAATGGGACGTTATAAAGCTGTACCCAAATCGGGACAAAGGAGAGGTCAAAATGAGCTTCTGCATACCAGGAGACCAGCCCCTCAAGAACAATGGCTTATTCTGAATATGCCAATGTCCATAATCCAGGACCCAATCCCTTAAACCAACATCTAAGAATGAAAAAATAAAGAGATTAGGGTCGGTAATACAAACCTTAACCTGAGAAGAATTCCCCCAAATCGATTCAATTATACGCTGCAGAGATCCAAAACTGGGAGCCGATTCAAAAAATTGACCTACCAGGGCATGATTCCAGTCTGCAATACCTTCATCAACCACCTCAAGCGGAGGCTTAACGGTAGCCACACCATTCTTTAGCTCAGGGGGAAAGAAATCAAGAGTTTGGAACAGATCCTTCCAATCCAGACTCACAGAACCCGATTCCATGATAGCAACAGAGACAGAAAATCCCCAAAGAATGAGAAACGAACAAAGATGAGAAGAAAAGAATAAAATATGAGAGAGCATTAAGCCTGCTAACGTACGCCCAAAGAGCCTCCATATGTGTTATTATCGACAAACGTTTGATAAATTTTAATTTTTTTCTATTAAGACAACTTGTAACAATATTGGTATCGAAAGGACGATGAGGGGGTTCTTACCTTTCCTATATGTAATCGACTTCCGAGCCTTTCTAAGTGAATCTCTAGTAAGATGTAAACCTAATAAAAGTTAAAATTTAGGTATTCGATCTTACCTAACCCAAAAGGTAAAACCATTCACTTTAAGTCAAGGTTCGATTCCGAACTATCTGAAGGACCGTTACGACAACAATCTCTGATACTCAAACCTAAGATTTATAGGGATAACAACCATTCCTAGTGGAGGATGCATGATTTCTCTAGAGTGGACATGTGTTGACTTTAGAATTTGAATTTTTCTATATTAGTTGTTCAATTTATTAGTGACGTTCACTTTAAAATTGTATTAGTGTCTATTTCATACGAAATTTTTTTATTATTAATTATATATTTACTCTTAAAAATATTTCTATTTCACCACTAATTATTACTCTAATCACTTACATAGTTTACTTCATGTGCACATAAGAAACATATGGAAGCGTTACTTTAAACCATAGATGCAAATGCAGGGGGAAAGAAACAATATTAGCAACAGAAAGATAAAGATACATTAATTCAACGTCAAGTTTTACGAGTTGAAATAAAAATTTGGGTTCAGATATATGACTTGAGAAAAAGTACCAAATTGTCACCAATCAGAGAAAAGAGGCGTTTCAGAGATATTAAGAATGGACAAGAGATATTGGTCGGCGAAGCGGCGGAGGCCTCATATTGCAGCAACGTGTCCCATCCCGTGCAAATCTGACGTTTCTTCTACCACCAATAATTATTTATTTATTAAATAATAAAACCAAAACAGCCCTATTTTTCTTCTTCCCTCCGATTGGGGGTGTAAATAAATTTAACTAGAACGAATAAAATTATGTTTATGTTCATTTATTTATTTTTAAAGATATTTATATTCGATTTGTTTAATTTAATTTTTAATATAATGTTCGTATTTATTTATTTATTTTTAAAGTATTCGTGTTTGTTTATTTATTGTTCGCGAACGTGCTTATTTAATGTTTAAGAACATGTTCATTTATATGTTCACGAACATATTCATTTAATGTTCATGAACATGTTTATTTAGCATTTACGGACATATTTGTTTAAAGTCAATTTATTTTTCTTTTATATGTTCAATTTTTAGTTTTATCATTTTATTTGCAAGCTAAAGAAAAATATTAAAATTATGCTTTTACTATATGTACATTTTAGTCTCTACCTTCACCAATATTTAAAATGTAAAAAATAAAATGAGAACAAGATAAACAAGTTTGTTTATAAACATAAATGAACAAGTCGATAAAGGAGCTCATAAACAAGTTTATAAACGATCTTATAAACGAACTTGTTCGTGAACATAAATGAATCGAATACATATTTATTTGTGTTCTTTCTTTTATTAAATAAACAAAAAAAACTTTATTTATACTCATTTATTTAACTTAACAAAAAAAAAATTTT